CCACAGCGATTGTTGTCCTCAGAACCCACTGTTGCCTTGACAACGTCTGTGACTGCATCTATCAGGTAAGAGCAGCAGGCCAGGCATGAGACTTTAGAGAGGCTGCACTCCCAGCCATGGACCCAGGCTCCAGGTCCTTCTTAGCATCTTAGTTCCCACTGAGCTCTACTTTAGACACAGAAACAAGAGGGGAGTGAGGAGAGCACTTCTCTGAGCAGTTTCCTTGACTTGTTAGGTTTATTTTATTTATTGGAAAGGCAGAGTGACAGAGAGAAAGGGAACTCAGAGAGAATCTTCCATCCATTGGTTCACTCCTCAAACGGGCACCATGGGCCAGACTGGGCCAGGCCAAGCCAAAGCCCAAGAGTCAGAAACACCAATCAGATCTCCCACATGGGTGCAGGGGCCCAAGCACTTGGGCTACCTTGTGCTGATTTCTCAGGCACATTAGCGGGGAAGTGGATCAGAAATGGAGCAGCTGGGACTCAAGCACTCATATGGATGCCAGTATCATAGGAAGTAGCTCAACCCACTGTGCCACAACACCAGCTCCTCTGAGCAATTTTAAATATAGGTACCGTGGCCAGTGCTGTAGTTTAGCAGGTAAAGCCACCGCCTGCAGTGCCAGCATCCCATATGGGCACCAGTTCAAGTCTCGGCTGTTCTTCTTCCGATCCAGCTCTCTGCTATGGCCTGTGAAGGGAGCAGATGGCGGCCCAGGTCCTTGGGCCCCTGAACCCATGTGGGAGACCTGGAGGAAGCTCCAGGCTCCTGGCTTCCGATCAGCCTAGCTCCGGCCAGCGCAGCCCTTTGGAGAGTGGACAGTGGATGGAACACTTTCTCTCTCTCTCTCTCTCTCTCTCTCTCTCTCTCTCTCTCTCTCTCTCCCTTCTCTGTAACTCTGCTTTTCAAATACATAAATAAGTAAATAAAAATTGAATCTATGTATCGTGATTATTTCGTGAACAACCAATTCACAATTCTAAGTCTTAAGGTGGGAGCTTAGCCTAGGTGTCGGGATACCAGATGCGAAGGCTACACCTCGCTTCAGAGTGCCCGAGCCTGATGCCTAGCTCCAGCTCTAACTCCAGCTCCCTGCTCATGCCAACCTAGGGAGACACGGTGATGGCTCAAGTACACTGAGCTCCTAGAAGTCATATACACAGCTGTCAGGACTTCTCCGTGCCTGGGCCCTGCCCAGACTATGCCACTTGGTGTCTCCTCTGAGGCCATAGAGTGAGTCACGGCCCCTGGCCAGACCTAACTGGGTGGGAGCAGCCGTGATGGTTGACCAGCCACCTGTCCCTTTCCCCAGGCCCATCTCTGGATCAGCCCTGCTACACTGGCTTGGCTGAAGGCCCTGGGGCAGTTAGACAGGAAGTGCCAACATCATCTGCAGGTTATGGCCTACCTAGCCCCATGTGCCTGTGCCCTGCCCCTCCCCCAACCCAGGCTCCCTGCAGCCCTGAAAGGTGTTCTATGACCTCACAATGCTGCCTATGACCTCTTTGCTCCCTCTGCCTCCCCCACTCACCACGTGGATGAATATTACCCACTTTTAATCTTCACACTGGCCTCAAATGCCACCTCCTCAAGCTGCAAGTCCATTCGGAACCCACCTCCCTCACCTAGCCACGCAGCTGGCCTATTGCCGCCTTTCTCCTGCCCCTCTCAGAGGACTCTGTCACCCCCACGGTGTCTCCTGTCTTGTTCTTCTACTTCCACCACTGTGCAGCCAATGCCTTTGCCGTCCACGGGCCCAGTGAATACGGTTGAGCGTCCCATCTGATTTGTCAAAGAGATGAGGGGCAGGCAGAGTGTCCTAGCACTGGTCTGTCTGGGTAGCCTCACATCCTTGCTGGTTAGTTCCTCTGAAAAGCTGACCTCCATCCTTGCGATTATAAAGCCAATTCATTTTCTCTTAATTCTACCTTCTCACTCTCAAACCAAAATGGAATTCATCAAGTTGAAAAATCACTCACTTCCATCTGGTCTACTTGCCCAGAGGGCAAAATGTAACAGAGTTTGTATTTTTTCAAATATCTCCTGGTCTGACCACACCGGGCATTCAAAGCTCAAAACCCCACAGACCTGCTCTGAAAGTTATTCCCAAATTACCGAATCTTTGAGGTGTGCCTTACCCTCTCCAAGATGATAAAAGACACGAGGGAAGGGAAAAAATGCAATTAACCAAGCAGGGGAGGAAGCAGACATAAGCAGGCCGAGGGTTAATGGCAGCAACATAAAACAAGCCGGGGCAGAGGCTCCCCCAAACGAGACAAGCCTCAGGGACATGCACACCTGCGAGGCAGCAAGCCAGAGAGGGGGTCTCGGCACTGCCTCCCCTTCCACTTGTCCTATGGGGCAGCGCTACCCCATTAGAACGGTTAAGGTCAGACACCAGCACCTTCAGTATGGCCTGCATCTAGAGGCGGTGAAAAGGGGAAAACAAGGGCAGGGGAAGACACAGAGACGTGGCTTAGAGAGAGGTGAGGATGTCGGGGAAGGAAGAGGTGGAGTCAGGAAACGGAAGCTGAGGAAGAGCAGAGATCCACACCGTGGCCCCCCAGGCCATCCTCTCAGACTGGCCATTGCTGCCTCGCCAGACAGAGGGAAAAGTCCCCAGGCCCCAGAGTCACATGAAGCGCAGTCACTGACCAGCGCGGCTCTCAGACCCTCCCCCAGACACGACCCCCACTCTCCATGTTAAAACCAGACTTCTGCAGAAGGGTTCTCTTGAACAAGGGAGGCTACAGCTCAACAATTAGAAGACACTGTTCCAATCCAATAATATCTGACAGCCTGAAACTGAAGCTCAGGGGAGGCTGTGACTTTTCTGAGGTCACCCAGAGCCAAGGCCGAATCCCAGTGCCTGGGGCTTCCTAAGGGGACAGCCTGATGGCCAGGCTGCTCTCACTGACCTGGCTTTTCCTGAGGCCAGGGATGAGGAAGTCGCAAATACCAGCGACTATGAATGTTACAAGACCCTGTATTCTGGATTAATATGAGAACAGCAAAAACTCTCAAACTTTGTGAGTAAAACATCAGCCCTATCTATTTTACAGATGTGGAGAGAGAGGCCCAGAAAGCTTGAACAATTTGCCTTACATCATATCCCTAGCAGAGGGAAAGGGAGCATTCAGACCCAGAATCCTTGACCAGTATCTAACACTCCCTTCCTCCATCTTCCACTGTCCTCTGGATCCCCAACCCCCCACCCCCCATTGCCCCTTAGCCCCCGAGCCCCCAGCAGCCTGGCCAGCCAAGACTCACATCCTCAGTTGAGTGACAACCCCGAGAAGTGGTTGTCTCAGGGCTACTGCCGTTTTCAAGGTTTTTCTTCTTTTTTCCTCCTGCAGGACCACCAGGCCTGTTCTTCCGCTGATACTCTCTTAACTGTGGAAAGGAAAAGCAGTTGATTCTCTGGAATGCCCTAAGCCCCTGCGGTCACATCCTACTTCACAGTGTTCACAAGAACTCTCATGCCCACCACTGACTTCATGCCACCGACAACCCTTCAAGGGGCTGGAACGATCAGTTAACGTCTGAAGAACTGACAACATGGCTTCAATAAAAGGGAATGATGGAATTTAAAATCAGCTTCCAACTCTCACTTTTGGGGTTCTGCCAAGAATCAGCAGCTGCCATGATCAAAACCAGAGGTAGAGGTAAAAGGTTAAACATTATGTGGTCAGGAATTGTACTTTGTGTGGTTTGGAAACAAGACATTGGGTCCTTTCTTCCATATCAGAACCTCACAGAACTTCGAGGGGCACCCCTAGCAACCCTGGACATCGAGGAGAAAGAGTAGAACCCAGGCATTATTCCAGCCAAGGGCCCATTATGATGTCATGACAGGTTCCGTCCCAAGCCACAGGGCAGCCTCACCAAGCTGCTCCCTCGCTCCTCTGTGGCAGTGCCCTCACCCAGCTTCAAAAACTCCCCTGGGGAGGGTTCAGGCTATAAAGTTTAGTCTCCCAAGGTCTGTTCCACAGACGGTCACACAGCTGTCACTCCAGAGAGCCTGAGTGTGGGACACTCTGCTCCCAGGGTCAGGGAAATTGAATGTGAGCCTGAGAACTCGCACACCCCCCAAAGTCTCTGGAGAGTCGAAACCTGGGGGAAAACCAAACCAGTTTTCCCGCGGTCACCCAGAAACACTGCCCACACTTCCAGCTCCCCCGGGAACGGGACACATCTCACTGTCAGTGTCCGAGCTGAGGAAGGGGGTCCCCAAGTCCCCAGTCCCCTTGCAGGCAGAAGCAGAAAGGGGGTGAGGACTTAGGGGACTGGGCCGGGAGATCAAAGCCCAAGCTGGAGGTAATGCCAGTCCCAGGGGGATTTGACCTCACCACATCCCACTCTGCCCTACCCACGCTCTGCGCAGGGGGAGGTGGGGCACAGGGTAGGGACCCGAGTCCTTGGAGACTGAGCCCACAGACCCCAAGGAGGTCCGGCTTCGGGAGGCCGGAGGTGAGGTCTGAGGCTGGGCCGAGGAGCCCCAGGAGCCAATGGCCCCAAGTCACCCAGGGGCGACAAGCCAGGGCGGGGGCTGGGTGCTGAGGGGGCGGTGCTGGCTGAGAGGACTTGGGTGGGGGAAGCCAAGGGGCGCTCGGGCTCGACCCGAGTGTCTGAGGAGCCGCACAGACCCCGCCACGGACCGACCGTCAGAGGGGCAGTGGGCTGCACCGGGGGGCGCTACCCGATGTTTTACCTTTTTCTTGGCCGCAGCCAGTTTGCTCTGTCGGGTTTCCTCCGACATCGCGGGGTGGGGAGGGGGCGGGGGGAGGAGGGGCCACATCACCACGATCCCGGCAACCAATGCGAATTGCTCCCGGCAGCTACCGCGCAGATGTGTGACTGAGCCAGGAGACGCAGGTTCAGGGCAGAACTAGGCGGGGCTGCGTGGGCGTGGTCGCCACACGTCAAGCCCATTGGTCAGTGAGAAAGATGAAACAAAGAGGGGCGTGGTCCGAGGCGTCAAAATGGGAGCTGCACGTGCAGCTCTGTCACCGCCCACTCTGGGGGCGGGGCGATTTCCCTTGGGTGCACGCGCAGCTTTCTCTAGTTAGTCTGCGGACCCCAGAGGCTGCTCTCCGGCCCGCGCCCTGGACCCCCTTTCTCCACAGGCGCCCCCGAACCGGGGCCTTCGGAACCCAGGGCTCAGGAGGTGGGCGGAGCGCAGAGCAGGGGACACTGCATCAGTTCACGAGCCCTTTCTGACTCCTCCCAGAAGTGCCCCAGACGTTCTCGTTTCAGAAATCCCCTCGGGGGTCCCTTTCACGTCCTCCAAACACTGCCCCTCTCACACCCAGCCCTTCCTCGAGGGGCCCCACACTGATCCCGAAAGCGCGTCTGTCCCCGCCCAGCTGGATCCAGTCGGGCGCGCCCAGGTCTCGGCGGCTCCTCCTCCCGCGCCCCCACGGGCCCCCTTTGCCCTCAGAGCAGCTCCGGGGCCTCAGCCTCTCCCACGCTTCCCTCCAGGACTGAGCAGGACCCGGCCGCAGCTGCCGCGGGGCCTTCCGGTCACGGTGAGTAGCCCGCGCCCCCTGACCCTGTGCGTGTGCCTGCGCCCCCCGACCCGTGAGGAAGTCTGTGCCCCCGACCCGTCAGTGTGCCTGCGCCCCCCGACCCGTGTGGATGGTTGCAGACCCCATCCCGTGAGGTTGTCTGTGCCCCCCGACCCGTGTGTGTGCCTGCACCGCCCAACCCCATGAGTGTGCCTGCGCCCCCCTATCCGTGAGGATGTTTGCGCTCCTGAACCATGAGCATGGCTACGGACCCAGACCCCGTGAGGATGCCAACACCTCCCGACCCCGTCATGGTGGCTGCACCCCCGGACCCGTGAGGAAGTCTGTGCCCCCAGGCCTCGTGCGTGTGCCTGCGTTCCCAGATCCGCGCGGATGTCTGCGCCCCCAACCAGTGAGGGTGCCTGCGCCCCCTGACTCCGTGCATGTGCCGGAGCCCCCAGACCCTGTGAGGATTTCTGTGCCTCCCGGACCGTGAGGGGGCCTGCGCCCCCCACCTGTGAGGAAGTCTGAGCCCCCCAACCCCATGAGTGTGCCTGAGCCCCCCGACCGGTGAGGATGTCTAGGCCACCGAGCCGTGAGCATGGTTGCGGACCCCGACCCCGTGCGGGGGGCTGCAGTAGACATCAACCCGTGAGGGTGCCAGCGCCTCCCAACCCCATGAGGGTGGCTGCACCCCCGACCTCTTGAGGTTGCCTGGGCCCCTCGACCCGTCAGAGTCCACCAACCAGAGAAGATGCCAGCACTCCCGACCCTTTGAGTGTGCCTGGGCCCCCAACACTGTGAGAATGCCCGTGCCCCCCGACCCGTGAGGGTGCCCGTGCCCCCTGACCCGTGAAGTTGCCAGCGGCCTCCAATCCGTGAGTGTGCCAGCACCCCCGATTCTGTGTGGGTGCCAACGCCCTCCATCCCGTGAGGATTTCTGAGCCCACCCAATGTGGGGAGGATGTCTATGTGCCCCCCCCCAGTGGCAGTCACAGCTACCCCCAGCCCTCCCCCACCCCAACCACAGCCCACAGGTGGGCCTTCCTCAGTCTTCCTGGGCAGACAAAACTCCGGGAGGCTCCCGAGCTGTCTTTCAGAATCCCTCTCAGTGGTCCCTGAGGAGCGTCAGCCAAGGTAGGCACCTGCCACTCTACCTGCCTCAGGACCGCATCTGCCCCACTGCACCAGACCCACACTGGAGGGCGCCCCTGGGACCTCAGGGCCAGGCCCCTCCCTCTCCCTACTGCAGCTCCAGACTCCCTCTTTCCTGTTTCTGTCCTTGGGCCAGCTGGCTCTCACCTCTCCCTTCCCAGGCAGCCTCTGGACTCAGTGCAGCTGCCCAGGGCCTCCGTGGCTGAGCCTGGGGGTTCTCTGGACAGGATCCGAACCACTGGCAGATGTGGGTGCCTGTTGCTGTTGATTTCTCAACAATGTTGCAGTGGATTCATTTCTGAGAGGAACAGCGTGGTGGGGGCAAGAGGCGCGGAGTCACTACACAGACCCCGGGAGTCCAGTGAAAGCAGGCTTGAGGTGAGCAGCTGGCAGACTTGTTTATTTCAGTTGAAACTACCTCTTATATAGCCAAGACAAGCCAATATGGTCAAGGGGCAGTCTATGCCCCATCCAATCACAGCCTGCCAGGCAGTTTCCAAAGCCATCCAATCACAGCCTGCCAGCAGCTTCCAAAGTCATCCGGTCACAGCCTGTTGCCAGGCAGTTTCCAAAGCCATTCAATCACAGCCTGTTGCCAGGTGGGTTTCAAAGCCATTCCTGAGTAACTGATGCTCCCTTGCCAGTGGCCACCTTGGCATGGCCCTCTCATTCCACCACACCAAGCCATAACAAAGAACTGGATCAAAAGTGGAGCAGCTGGGACTCAAACTGGTGCCCATATGGAATGCTGGCACTGCAGACAGTGGCTTTACCTGCTACACTATTGTGCCAGCCCCAGAACAAGCATGTATAACACAGCAAGTTAGAATATTGGATTTTGAATATGAATTCACATTAGGATATGCTTTATATTGTAGGAGTTTATGGATAGAGGTTATGGGCAAACACAAGACTTGTGTAGGTAAGTTTTACATAGATACTTAGGCATGAAGATAAATTTTTCATTACCTACACAATCATATTATTGAAAAATAAAAATAGAGATAAAGGATGGAAAAAGAAAGCAGAGGAGTCATATGTGATTTTTTTTCAGGGCCCATATAAATAGTGACACTTTGGTAAGGGATTTTTCATGAGATTGTTTTAAGGAAGAAATTTTTCTGAAAAGGAAACTCAAATGTAGCACACACTTATTTTCTATGATATTTCTGCTTAAGCAAAGTGCTTATGCATGTATTACTTTCTTGTAAATTCAAAATTATCAGACAGTTCATCGGGAAAAACAACAGGAGAAAGTCAAAAAATTGATTTAGAGTTCACTTTTCTTTTACAATATAGACTGACAAAATATTTTTAAAATAAATGTAACCCTTGATATTGTAGAAATATTGCCATATTGCAAATGTGTGAAATATGGGAAATACTTATAAATAGTAAAAACACAAAAAGACACACACACACACACATAAACTGTACACATACTAGGGTCCATTCTTATCTTCAGGGGGAAAGGACTCAAAGACAAATGTCTCCCCAGTTTTTTAACTCAGAACTACTCTCAGTGGTTCACACATTTTACTGATGAGTAAACTTGCTTCAAGTTTTCCATGAATAGAAATTGAGAAATTTGTCAATTGTACTCTATGGAGCATGTAAGTGACCATACCATAAACTCTCAAATGCAATGGTGTGTTGGAGTTCTTTCCTGGATATTGTTCCTGACCTTGTGGGCAGTGAGAGCCACAGGAGAGTTAAAGGTACTTCAACTGACAGATCTGTTACTTGGAGGCTCCACAAGGAATCAATGACATCTTTGTGCAACTTGAGGGCTTGGCTGCTCCTCTTCTGATTCAGCTCTCTGCTATGGCCTGGGATAGCAGTAGAAGATGGCCCAAGTCCTTGGGCCCCTGCACCATGTGGGAGACCTGGAAGAAGCTCCTGGCTCCTGGCTCCTGGCTTCGGATTGGTACAGCTCCAGCTGTTGTGGCCAATTGGGGAGTGAACCATCAGATGGAAGATCTGTCTCTCTCTCTCTCTCTCTCTCTCTCTCTCTGCCTCTCCTCTCTCTGTAATTGAGACTTTCAAATAAATAAATAAATCTTTTTAAAAAAACTGTCAAATAACCCAGCTTACAGGTCTTAAGAGTACCTGAAGATGTAGAAAGAGAGAATGGAATAGAAGGCCTATTTTTGTGAAATAATCACAGAAAACTCCCCCAATTTGGAGAAAGAAAGGATGCCAAGTACAGGAAGCACATAGAACACATAAGAAACATGACCTGAAAGGATCTTCACCATGACACATTGTAGTCAAACTTTCCACAGTAAGGCATAAAGAAACATGTTCGTATGTGTTTTCTGCTGTAATCAATTTCTAAAGTGTATACACTGACAAGAAGAACTACACAAAGTACAGGTCATTGAACAAGGTATATCTCCTGAGAGGGGCTCCAGGCGGCTCAGCCAGTGCTACTGTTTGTGTTTCCCACACCGCAGGAGCCCTCAGGAGGATGCTAGGACTCCGGTATGCAGTGGGCTGGCCGTCAGGACCACGGGGTGGTGTGCAGTCCCCGCCTGCAGCTTCTTTGAACCCTGGGGCATCAGCTTTCCAATCTCTGTGTGGTGAGGAAGAACTTGAACTTCCTGTATGACCCGATTTCCTTGAGTGAGGCAGCAGATCTCAAGCAGGCCTCTCGGCGTAGGGGTCTGGGTCAGTTTTCTTGTTGCTAATCGTGCAGCAGCACAGGCTCGGTGCGTGAGAAGGAAGCGGTATTATTGACCTCATGGTTTTGGTGCAGGGTCTAGGGGCAGCATCTGGTGATGGTCTTCTTGTTGGTAGAGGCCTGGGTGGCACAGAGACCAGTGGACAGACAGAAGGGGTGCAGAGGGGGCCAATCCAAAGTGGTCTATGTTGCAGTCCCCTAGGGATAAGGCATTAATCCATGAACACATGAGTGGATTTATCCTGATCACTTCCTGCAGGGCCTCACCTGTTCTCACTGCTGAATTTCTCATCACTGGATTAACTGTGCCCATGAGTTTCAGAGGGGATAAACCATGTTTAATAGAGAGCATGCAGGCTTGCAGGAGGTCCCTAAATTTCCAGGTCTCCTCCCACCTAGTTTTGAGATTTAGTGCTTCTGCCCCTCATGTGGAAGAAGGCACCCTTTCTTAGGGCTTTCAAGGAAAGAAGGAAAGGACTTCAAGCTTTTCTTCCTACTAGGATCACCTATTATTTTCATTGCTTGCAACCTCATCCGATTTTCTGAATCACGAACATGCATATTGCCTGAGTATTACCAAGAAAATCTTACAAGTTGTCATGTGACATGCTAGAAAGGACCCGTGTGTGTTGAATGTCCTTATGTACTTCTGTTGCCATATCAGGGATTTTGTGCCTCAAAAAATGTTCCCAAGGTCGTATGTTTATATTTGTTTTTGACAGGCAGAGTTAGACCTCGAGAGACAGAGAGAAAGGTCTTCCATCCATTGGTTCACCCCTCAAATGGCTGCTATGGCTGGCATGCTGCGCTGATCCAAAGCCAGGAGCCAGGTGCTTCCTCCTGGTCTCCCATGCGGGTGCAGGGCCCAAGCACTTGGGCCATCCTCCCTGCCTTCCTGGGCAGCAGCAGAGAGCTGGACTGGAAGAGGAGCAACTGGGAATAGAACTCGGGGCCCCAACCGGGACTAGAACCCAGGGTACTGGCGCTGCAGGCAGAGGATCAGCCAAGTGAGTCATGGCGCCAGCCTATGTACTTTTTTTAAGCAGTTCATAGTGAACAACATTTTCATTATTTTCAGTTCAGGAGAGCCAAAGTGTTATCTTGTAGTTTTTTTTTTTTTTTAAGAATAAGCTAAGAAAAATCCTGTAGTACTTATAATATACAAATGAACTATACTATTAGATATAAATTAAATGTTATATTTTTATGAAGATAAATGCCTAGTAATAAAAGCAAATTTTAAGTTTATTGATTTATAGAATTTCTCTTTTGGAAGGGAACCTTCAATATCAGCCATTTTCATTCAAATTATAATATTTTTTCACTTTTAAGCAATCTCTGGTGTTATTAAGATTTCTTCACTAAACTTACACATGAATAGAATTATCTTAAAATACATTATTAATTACTTAAATACATTAATATAACACATCGGAAAACAAGTCTTACTACCTGCTATTGATTATAGTTATCAGAAGTATTAAGATGTTGTCACAAATTTGAAACAAATAATTGTTTTTTCTCTGAAGTGATTTTTCAGGAATAATGAATAATGGAAATCTATAAGAGATGTTTGGATAACATCTGCCTCATGGACAATTCATAGAAATATAGTTATTTATCTCTAGTTGTAGGCTTAATTTTGAAGTTATCATTTTTATGGCAATTGTGATAATACAAATGACCACAAACCAAATAATAAAATAATTGAAATTCCTATACTTTGAGAAAATGGATAGCTTCTGTTAATGTACCAAACATAATTTTTCTATTACTAATTTATTAGAAACATTTCAAAAATATTTCTTTCAATTTGGGGAGAGGTAAAGTAATGAAAAAAATCAGAATTTCTGAAAATTAAAGTATTTGCATTTAATTTGTTCATTTTCTGCCTCATCACCAATGTAGTTCTTTAATTGGATAGAAAAAAAGTAGATTCAGAATCTACATTTGTTGACCACTAATAACAGAGTAGGGCAGTGAAGCATCATTAGCCCAATGAAACTTACAGGATTTCAGTGGTGGGGAAATCAGGACTCTTTCTGAATTTTGTTAGGGAAATGTGTTCTCATTTTATGTGGAGCTGTCTACTTTTGGTATTTTTATTTTAATATATATTTTAAAGTTTCAGCAGAACTCAGCACTAGGAGTGTCTACCTTATTTTTTTGGGAAAAATCTGACTAATTTTTAAGAATGGGGCATCAATATTGTTTCATTTTCTCAGTTTTGAATATAGTGTGTCATTCTGTGAAAACCACCTTGCCAGTGTGCTTTTTGTTTAGTTTGCTTTTTAAGTGCAAACTTGAAAGTTTTACTTATAAAAAGTGACCTTTATGTTTTTCCATATGATTGACAGAGCTTTTACCCAGTTATCTTCATTGTATGACAATAAATCTATTCAATAAGGGTTAACAAATGCATTAAAAGTGCAAATAATCACTATGGTATGCTTGCTGGTTTTATTTATGATGATGTATTGATCATCTCTGTCAGGTACTGTGATAGATATGTCTATTGGAAAATATAATTTCATTTCTCAAAAAGGCAAGCAAGTTAAAACCCTTCTGCAATTATGAAGTCATCCTCTGATAACCTACTGATTCATTTCTTGGTGTCAAAATCAAGAACCAATTATCTGTTTGACTTGGAGATATTAGGTCCCTGTGGTACTATGAAGAAAATTATTTAGTGCCTTTCAGCTAGTGAAATGATGATTGGTGGGTCTGTTTGTTGAACAAAAGGGGGGAGGGGAAGAGCACTCATTAGCTATAAGGCTGTAGCTATCTCAGTGGAGGTAGTCATTTCAGTCTTTGGAATTAATTCTAGAATTTAATGATAACTTTAAGATTGTGTAAAAAGTGGTTAGTAAAAAATTTATTTACCTTATTATATAAACATAAGACTATGTTTTAAAACCTTCTTTCCCAGCCAAGATACTCATTTTAATACAAAATGGGAAAATATTCAATACAGTGTCTCCTTTTGGAGGCTTCCTACAAGTGAAAGCAGATTTGTGGGGGATGATTGGGTTTTGAGCAACTTCCTTGCTTCAAAGACAAAACCCACATTGCCCTCGTCTGTCCCTAAAGTGCCAGACCCAAGATACTTTTAAGAAGCTACTGTACTCCACCTGCCTTGGATGAAGCAAGCAGCCCCTTTGCTACCAGAATTCCCCAGAAACAGCATGGGCATTTTCCATGGTAGAGACAGCCCTTGTGAATTCTGCAACTGCAGGAGCTCTGGAGCTCTACTTGCTTGCTCTGTACAATATAGAGAAATTCTCACGGCCTCATATGGCCGTGAGAACCAGTAGCATCTCATACAGAATTCCAGAGTACCAGAACTAAAGAGGCCTCTTCTGAAACTCTTAGGCACATGGTGCTGGAAGGCAGGACAGTGCATCATTTTTGCATGCCTTGTAGGCACAAAGGAAAGTTCTCTCCAATATCTGAAGCTCTAGGATTGCTGCTGCTGGTGTTATAAACCCTGGAATAACACTCATCTGTGGGAGTTATACAATCCTATCTTTGTATGCTTCAGGCTGGAATTCAATCCCTGGAATAATTGGCAGTCAACCTGAGAGACCTGGATAAGGACCCCGCTGTATCCTGTATCTCCAGGGCTGTCACTCTGTGTACTGTATTTCAGAGAGTCATGTAAATACACCTAGACCCTAGGGAATGGAGCCTATAAGCATTCCAGTGCTCCAGACCCAGACCTGCTGATACACAACCCTCAGCATAAACTGTATTCACCCTGTAGGACTCAGGGAATGTCTCCTTAACATTTCCCAGCTTGGGACTTGAACTCATGATGCTAAATTTCTGGGTATTAGTCAGGCTAACATATCAGGACCTGGGGAATGTCTTATCCACATAGTATAGTAAAAAGGCCATAAATTTTGCTGCCACAAACACCAGAAATATTCATATTTGCCTGGTAGAAAAGGGTAGCATGACCAGAAATGTGGATACGGACATCACAAACCCCAGTATGGCTGACAACTCTAGGGACTAAGAACCTATGGAAGCTCATGCCACTTCAAAGTCATACTGTAACATCCACAAAAGGCTGAAGAACGGAAACCTGTGGCACATGTAGACAATGCTGACACTGATTACTAATGAAGAAATCAAGTCTCAAAAACTTCAAAAGATTGAAATCATACCATGCGCCTACCTTCTCAGACTGAAATCAATCTAACTAGACATCAATAATAATAAAAAAGGGCACTGGAAAGTTCACAGGTACATGAAAATTAAACAACATGATGACCAATGCATCATTTTAAAAAATTAAAAAGAGGTCAGAAAATTTCTTAAAACAAATGAATATGAAAACACAACATATCAAAGCATAGAACACAGCAAAAGCAGTATTAAGAGGAAATTTTATAATGACAAGTGCTTACATTTAAATTTGAAAGATCTTAAATAAATGGTCTAATGCTGCATCTCAAAAACCCAGAAAAAGTGGCCAGCACTGTGGTGCAGTGGTTTAACACCCTGGCCTGAAGTGCTGGCATCCCATATGGGCACCGGTTGGAGACCCGGCTGCTCCACTTTCTATCCAGCTCTTCTTCTTCTTCTTCTTTTTTTTTTTTTTTTTGGACAGGCAGAGTTAGACAGTGAGAGAGAGAGAGAGAGATAGAGACAGTTATAGACAGTGAAAGAGAGAGACAGAAGGGTCTTCCTTCTGTTGGTTCACTCCCTATTGGCTGCCACAACTGGCGCTGTGCCAATCTGAAGCCAGGAGCCAGATGCTTCCTCCCAGTCTCCCATGTGGGTGCAGGGACCCAAGCACTTGGGTCATTCTCCATTACCCTCCTGGGCCACAGCAGAGATATGGACTAGAAGAGGAGCAACTGGGACTAGTACCCGGTGCCCCAACCAGGACTAGAACCTGAGGTGCCAGCGCCACAGGTGGAGGATGAGCCAAGTGAGCCATGGTGCCGGCCTCTATCCAGCTCTTTGCTATGGCCTGGGAAAGCAGTAGAATATGGCCCACGTCCTTGGGAACCTGCACCTGTGTGGGAGACCTGGAAGAAGCTCCTGGCGTCAGATCGGCACAGCACTGGTCGTTATGGCCAATTGGGGAGTGAACCAGTGAATGGAAGACCTCTCTCTCTGCCTCTTCTCTCTGACTTTCAAAAAAAAAAAAAAAAAACTCTGACTTTCAAAAAAATATATAAATCTTTAAAAAAAAACACAGAAAAAGAAAAACAAGCCATAGGCAAAAATTAGCAGGGCACAAGAAAAAATAAATATAAGAACAGTCATAAATGAAATTGAAACTAAAAGAATATTAGAGATATAAAACAAATAGCTGGTTCTTTAAGAAGATAAACAAAACAGAAAAGCCTTTATCCAGAGTAACAAAAGAAAGAAGAAAAAAACCTCAATAAATAAAATTTGAGAAGAAAAGTAGATGTTACAGTTGATACTACAGAATATGATGGGTCATAAAAAGCTGCTATGAACTGTGTGTTAACAAATTAAAAGCCTCAAGTAAATTCCTGAATATGTGTAACATATTAAGATTAAACAAGGAAGATATAGAAAATATAAATAGGCCATAGGAAGAAATACTGCTGAAGTAGTAATTAATAAAAGTTTCCCAACAAAGAAAACCCTAAATTCTATAAAACATTTAAAAAGGAATAACTCAAATACTCTTCAAATTATTGCAAAATATTTTAGAGTATACAAAACTGTA